ACTTTCCTTTTTTACAAATAGCACCACAACAATTAAACTTAGCATGACAACAACACACAAGTACCATAACATAAAGTAAGGAGACAATATGCAAGTATTTCCATTAGTAGAAGTGGCAAATCTACTGCCTATCATTATAAACACTTATCTTGATGTATCTGAACAAAGTGGTATAGTAAAATTCAAGTGCAGCTGATCAAAACTATCTCCAAATAACAGCAGCTGAACGTTAAAGTCACCCTAGTTAATTTAGGAAGTATAAACATTTTAATTACTAATTTATTTACCCATCAGTAGCTCTTAAAAGAACTGGTAATCTCTTACTCTGCGTACTCCTTAAAAGCAAGCACAACTGCAGAAGAAGAGAAAAAAAGAACAGAGCGGACTTTTGAATGATTTCAGTCGCTATGGCAACTTTGAGCATGCACATATCATTTTAAAATGGCGTATGCAAAGAACAGGGTGTGTTTATTACGCCCATAATACTTACTTTTTGCCCATAAAAGTAAATAAAGATTCTGTAACTACCTTTGTGATCCTTGTACCAAGTCCAAAAGAGTGATGTAAAAGCCAACTTAACCACTTCTCTGGCTTAAAAGATTAGAGGGGAGATAGAAGATGAAAGAAGAAAAAAAAGCCTAAAGAATTTTGCAGAATTATAAATTTTGGCCTTTTATCCAGAATTTTTCGTACTACATTACAGTCCACTTTAAAGGTACTAGGAGAATTGCCCAGTGAAGGAGAGCTCATCTAAGCCATTTATATGGCTGTACAATGTAAGATAAAAGAGTTATAATCTTTTGAAAAATATAAATTTGGTCGCCATCTTTAAAAATCAACCTCAACCCTACATATAGGCTACTGCCTATATAATAACGACTATCAATGGATCCTTTTCCATAGATGCTAACGCTTAAAAACATGGATCACTTTTCAACTGTGTTAATCCCATACTTTGAAGTTGAGCATCTAATGCTGAGTTCCAGCACCTTGGTGACTGTTTTAAACCATATGAAATTCTTTTTAGCTTCCATACCATCTGCTCCTTTCCTTTTTTTATGTATCCTTCTGGTTGCTTCATATACACGCATTCATTCTGCTCTCCATTAAGAAACGCAGTAGTCACATCCATTTTATGAACTTTTAAACTCTTCTCAGCAGCAACAGCTAAAACAGTTCTTATTGATTTGAACCTGACCACAGGTGAGAATGTTTCATCATAGTCTAGGCCAGATCTCTGAGAATAACCCTGTGCCACAAGACGAGCTTTGTGACGTTCAATTTGACTACGTTCATCCACTTCAAACTTGAAAATCGACACGACCTGTTTCTGGAGCTTCAACCAATTCCCATACGTCATTGTCATAAAGAGATTTCATTTCTGCATTCATGGCCATTTATGACTATCAGAACTTCTTAGCGCCTCATTGACAGTAGTATGTTCAGCTACATGTGTATTGTGAGTAATGTAGCTACTATAAAAATCAGGACGCCTTTTGATCTGAGTTGATCTTAGCTGAATAACTGATCCATCTTGCTCTTCAGTATTGCCTTCTTCACGATGAGTATCATCTGTTTCTTCATTTATTGTTTAATCCTCATTTTCTCCATTAACTGTTTCTTCCACTTTCTCTTCTCTTAGATTAATGCGTACCAAAGGCTAATCTTTCTCCTTCTCATTGTAGTTAAAGAATTCTGTTTCATTAAAGATGACATCACGACTATATACTATCTTTAACTTCTGCACATCATACAACCGATAACCCTGGTATCTGGATACCCTAGAAACATACACTTGTGTGATTTGTAATCCAGTTTTTGTCTTTCATCCTTTGGCACGTGTCGATATGCTACACAGCCAAAAACATGTAAATGTCTAACACTTGGCTCTTCTCCAGTAAGAGCTTTAAATGGAGTTTTATTCATCACAGCTTTGGTAGGACTATGATTTCAAAGATAAACAGCAGTGACAAAGCCTCTGCCCAGAATCGTTGAGGGAGCTTAGCACCTAACAACATTGATCTAACCATCTCCACTAGAGTCCGATTGAGTCTCTCTGCAACTCCATTTTGTTGTGGACATTTTGGGATTGTTAGCTTATGTTTGACTCCTACTTTCCTTAAGTATTCTTCAAACTCATTAGAAGTAAACTCCTATCCATAATCCGTTCGCAAAACTTTAAGGCTTCTTCCTGTAGACCATTCAATGAATGCTTTCCATTCGCAGAATGTTGAAAAAACATCAGATTTTCTCTTTAACACATAGACCCAAACAAATCTAGTTTTGTCATCAATGAGAGTAAGAAAATATTCTGCTCCACTCAATGATTTCGAATTAATTTTACTGCAGATATCACTGTGAACAATATCTAATGGCTCTTTAGCTTTAGACTCTGATTGAGCAGAAAAAGACATCTTATGCTGCTTCCCTTTAATACATGACTCACAGAACTGAAGCGTTCCTGTAGTGAAAAAATCAAAATCAATCACCAGATCATCTCAAACAAGTTTCTGAAGATTCTTAGAGCTCAAATGTCCATAGCGGCAATGCCATAGATCCTCCTTGTCAACAGTTGCAGCAGTATTTGCTTGAATGTAATGAGTTTGTATCTGATAGAGACACCAACTCATGTTGCCACAGCCACCAGCTTCTGATTTCAATCTCTGATCACACAGCTGTATTTAGAGAACTTTACCTTGTTTCCTCTTTCTGTACATTTTAAAATACTCAAAAGATTACATGACAAATCAGAAACATACAGGACACCATACAATTTGCACTTACAGTACTTCTGATGTCCATTTTTTATTGTCAATTTCACAGAGCCTTGAGCAACAGCTCTTAAAGATCGTCCATCACCAAGCTTGACTTCCAGAGGGATCTTTAGTGAATATAGATGAGTGAAACAAGCTTTGTCATTATACATATGACTTGTTGCTCCAGAGTCAACAATCCACTTATTCTGAGACTTGAGAGTTTGCTGCGCCGGTAAGGCAAGTTCCACTACCAATCCTCCTTCTTCACTGTCAGTATCACCAGCAGGCTTCTTGGTTGTAGCACTATTAGCTT